AAAGATTAAAGGACTGACTGAAGCAGCCATGCAAACAGAATGCACTCCGAGAGGCTTCAGGCTTCTAATGCAAGGACAAAGGCTAAATAAATCCCTCATGGGCAGCCATTATCTGAGAAACTCTAAGCAGGATGGGGGCACTGAGTGGGAGCCCGAAAACCCTATCCTCTCATGTCTGCAATCCAAATTACTTAGATACAGACTGTAGGCAGGGAAAGGATTAAAACAAAGGGTTGGGACAGTAGGATGGTAAGGATCCTGCCTCCCTGTTTGCAGTATACAAGTGCGAGTTCAGTTCTTTACCCCACTTTATGAAGAGCAAGTTCAGTTCCCTACTCCCCTTTGTGGGCCTTGTCTGACATCCAGTAAATTGTTACCTTCATCTTCAGTTCATCTATAAAATGGGAAGCCATGTGCCCTACAGGAGGGAGCATGTGATAAGTATTATCTGAGCTGGAAATCCACACTTGCTCCTGCACACTCTCTCACTCATATGCTGTCTCAAATGATTGTGATAGACTGTCAGCCTTCCTCAGCCTGGTCCCTTCCAGATTTGCAGGACTATAATGCTGCAGACATTCTGGTTATTCTGACTGGGATTTTGGGACTTGTCCAATGCATCTGGAAGATGCCTGATTGAGGAAGGCTGATTCCTCCCTCCGGTACACAGCGTCCCAAAAGTCTTTGGGTGAAACTTTTTCTAGAAGTTCCTTAAATGCATTTTTTCTGAATTCCATATCTGAATATACTCATACCCTTCTTACGTCCTCCTCTTCCTGGCCTTGCATGGTGTCGTTACCATCAGAAAGCCAAAGCTGTGTGGGAGGTTGCTTGTATGAAGGCTGCTCAGGTTGTTCAGGCTGACCATGTCCATACCAGAGAGACCTCCTGTTGTCAGCAATGGGAACAGGGTTGTGGTGGGCTTCAACCAAGTTATGTGGAAAACTGGATGTTGCCTTACACTGAGTCAGATGGCCAGTTGATCTAGCTCGTTATTGTCTCCACCAGACTTTCCCAACATGATGCTCTCTAGGAAGATCATCTTCCATCATTCCTAGTCAGCATGGCCAATAGTCAGGAATGCTTGGGGTTGTAGCCTAAAACATCTAGAGGGCACCTAGTTGGGAAAGACTGCTCTCTTGGGTTTCTGAGACAAATCTTTCCCTGCCCTACTTGGAAATTAAACTTGGGACTGGGACCTTCTCTGTATGCAGAGTATGTACTCCACCCTTTATATGAGTTATGGTCCTTCCTATGGCCAGATCAGTATGGGTAGACACAGGCATAACAGTAACCTAAGAGGAAGGAAATGGTACTACTTTTGAAACAACAGAAAGTCTAAGTATCTATTCTGCCCAATAGTGGAAGGTTTCTGAGCAGTTCACAGCAATAAGAGAAAGCATACTAATACATCAGCTACAACAAGTTGTTGTTATGTGATGTCTAGTCATCTCTGATTTATGGTGACTTGATGAATGAGCACCCTCCAAAATGCTCTGTCCTTGATAGCCTTGTTCATCTCTTATAAACTCAAGGCTATGGATTCTTTTATGGAATCAATCCATTTCATACTGGGTCATCCTCTTCTTCTGCCTTCAACTTCTCCTAACACAGTTAACTTCTCCAATGAGTCTTGCCTTCTCATGATGTGCCCAAAGTAAGCACATCAATAAAATAACAAACAATGCGACCAGTTCATTCCATGAATACAAGTATTATTTGTATTATAACATTTTAAATTAATTACAGAATAGGCTAAATCAAGAATTACAACATAATATCGAGTATTATTTAAATGCAGTGTATAAGCTGGGCCAAGTACACCAAAACCCCTTTCCTATGCATAGGGACATTAATCAACTATACCAACTTCAAGCAAGTACTTCAGAAGTACAAAGCCAGAACAGGGAAGATTCCTTACAGCTACAGATCTCTCCCTTCCTCCTCTCTCTCATCCTGGACAGTTCTCAGGGGTTCAGCAGAGGTGGCAGACTCTACTCATGTGCTCTGGATGTTCCTACCACAGAAAAATGGCATGAGGAAAAGGGGAAGCAGAGGTAGGAAAAGGAGCAATGAGAGAGGAATAGGAAGTGGTAGTGGATGGACATTGAAGCTGCATGTTCTGATGAAACCACGAAACCCTTCAATTTGAGACTTCAGTGCGTTCAGGCAACTAGTCGCTACATGTGTGGGGGCTTTCTCTCTCTTTTTGAGAACAGAAGTACACTGAATGTTGAGGCTGCCATGGTCACAAGCAGCTTGTAAAGATGTGTGGTGGGAAACTGGCCTGTGAACCATATACTAAGTGATTGAACTTGCCTCGGGCAGAGGATCTTTATAGCTATGTAGCCATGACTTTATTTTCCAGAACAGAATTTGCTTTCAGAGGGGCAGAGGGTCATTTATTTAGATGATGAGATTGCATGGCTCAGTAGCAGAGCAATGACTTTGCATGCAGATGGTCCTAGGTTCAATCTCCATCTTCTTCAGATAGCACTGAGAGAGATTCCTGCCTGAAAACCTATAGAGCTGCTACCTGTCAGTGTAGACAGTACTGAACTAGAAGGCATAACGGTCTGAAGGTGTAAGTTAACTTCATGTGTTACCAACATGTGTTACCAACGTATGGAACCAACACTCCTATTCAAGGCCATGTTTTGCCCTCAAAGTTGCAGGAACATTCTTGAAGACATACCCTAAATGTATGCTCAAGATTCAGAACTGGAGGGATGCTTGAGAAGTTTAAGTGACCCAGGGTAAAGGTTTCTACATTGCACACAAACCCCTATCCTTTAATGCCATTATATTTATAGCGAGCGAGCTCATAATAGCAAGAGATCTAGTAACCCTAGATAGGGAAGGGAGGTTGGCGGTCACACAACATGGTTTCTGCAAAAACAGGTCCTGCCAGCCAAACCTTGTGGAATTCTATGACAAGGTTTTGAGGTGGCTAGACGGAAGGGATGCGATGGATGTGGTTTACCTGGATTTCAGCAAGGCCTTTGACAAAGTGCCACATGATATCCTGGTGGAGAAACTGAGGAGTTTTGGGATAGACGGATGCACTGTCCAATGGATTAGGGCATGGTTGATGGAGCGAAAGCAGAGGGTAACTGTTACTGGGGAATCATTGGGATGGTGGCCAGTGATGAGTGGGGTTCCCCAGGGCTCTGTCCTGAGACTGATCCTGTTCAAACTTTTCATCAAGAAAGATGGAAGAGGGGCTGACCAGTCCGCTGATCAGATTTGCAGACAATGCTAAAATGGGGGTGGTGGCTGCAACTGAGGAGCAGGTACTCCGGATCCAGAAGGATCTGGACAGACTGTGGAAGTGGGCAAGGGACAAGTGGCTGGAGAGCAGCACTTGTGAAAGGGACCTCGGGGTGCTGGTTGACTGCAGGCTAAACAGCAGTGTGATGCGGTCGTCAAGAGGGCGAACGCCACCCTTGGTTGCATAGCCAGAAGTGTGGCTTCTAGATCGAGAGAGGTATTACTACCACTCTATATGACTCTGGTGCGCCCGCAACTGGAGTATTGTGCTTAGTTTTGGGCCCCTCATTACAGGAAGGATATAGCCAGGTTAGAGTCAGTGCAGCGTAGGGCCACTAGGTTGGTGGCCGGTTTGCAGGGGATGCCGTATGAGGCGAGACTGAGGGAACTGGGTCTCTTCAGCCTGCAGAAGAGGAGACTCAGAGGGGATCTGTTGGCGACATACAGGTATGTGAGGGGATGTCACATTGAGGTGGGTAGAGAGCTGTTCTCCCCTGCAGAGGAAGGCAGGACGCACTCCAACGGAGCAAAGCTCAGGGAACCAAGGTTCCATTGAGATGCCAGGAAGCACTTCCTGACAGTCAGGACCCCAAGGGTCTGGAATGGGCTTCCATGGGAAGTGGTTGAAGCCCCATTGGTGAGGGTGTTCAAGGATAGGCTGGACATGCACATGGTGGGCATGTTGTGAGCGAAGCCGGCTGGAGCCGGGGGTCAGACTAGATGCCCAGGAGGTCTCTTCTGACTCGCTCTGTTTCTATTTTGGGGATCATATTTAAATGGTCCCAAATTGCATGTGCAGTCCCCAAAAAAGTTTTCTACCAAAAAGAAATGCCACAACATTCTACACTTTGAAAAAAAAAAAAAAAAACCTTTTGGGCAATTTTCATAACTTGTCTCCTAGAGGCAGGGAAATTAAAATAACTCATTTTAGAAATAATCAGTTTTGTGATAATATGCACCTTATGTGCATGTTATCTGTTTTGTGGCTTGGTAGATATGGATGGGATTGTGTGTTTGGGTTACTGACTCTGCACATATTTCCAGTTGTTGTGTTGTGCTTGTAGCATATTGTGCAAGTTTCAATTATGGTAGACTGATAGATAAGGCCTTATATTATCTGGCAGGGGGTACCTTCAGACTACCTCCCTTAGTTATAGGCAACTTTGTGTGGCTACCTGCCCGTGTATTCCTCAGTGTCCTCTAGCTTGCTGATTATTCCATCACGGTGTTCCATTCCTGAGTTGTTCCTCCATGTTGCCTTCAGCTCCAGGGAAAAGGAAAAGTAGCGTGCTGATTTGGGCCTGCTCAATATCCTGAGTATGACATCCTTTCCATTCTTGGTGCCACCCTTCTGCCCTTCACTCTGCTTCTCTCTGCTTTGGGGATTGCCTGTGTTCAGGCACCAGCAATGCCAGGGCAGTCCTCCCCCAGAATGTGGAAATCCTGACTTATTGTAACTTTCATTGTTTTACAATATTTCATTCAGATCCATTCTCCCTTGTGCAACATAGAAGTCCTCTCATTCATTCAGTGCACAAAGCACATAGAAAGGGAGCTTGATTAGAAAGAAACAACCTGTGTCTCTCATGGTTTTTATATCACTTGTTTATTGATGCTTTGTCTAATAATTGGAATATTTTAATCCATGGTGTTATTTGTAAATTGTTTATTAAGAATGAACTGGTCACTGACCATAACAAATTGTTGTTTGCTGCTGTTGTTGAATCACTGACACCAAAGTGACAAGTTGTCATAGTTAGCAAGGGAAAAGAAAGCACCCAACAATTGAACTACATCCCTTACTTCCAAAATCCAGCTATTTAAACTAACCTTCCCAAACCTGATGCCCTCCAGACTGCAGTTCCCATTCTTGCCCGGTAGGGAATGCTGGCAGTTATGGCCAAACTTATCTGGATAGTGCCATGTTGGGGAAGGCTAATGTACAGCTCTGCATGCTAAAGAGAGGATGTTACAAGAAAAGATGAAGAAGAAGTTTTCATGGGCCTCTTAACCAGTCAGTGCATATCCACCAGGAATCGGAGCTAGTTTGGAGCGCTCGATTTAGCCTTGACTCAGCTACCCAAGCTTGGCCTTTGGAACATGCTAGTTGGGAAGCAGCATGGCAGGAGTTAATGCCCTTGACAAATACCTTTGAAAATCTGGCACGAAACTTTTTATTGGTGGGTTGCTGGATAAAGTTCTCAGCAGAATGGATTTGTACCATTTAAAAAAATCACAAGATGGGAAGCTCCGGGCTGTGTCAGACTGGTCAGGAAACGGGCATGAGTGCTGAGGATGACTTGCTATCTCTGATCAGTGCCCCAGGTCTGTGTTGGTCTGTGTCCTGCAGCTGTGCTTTCTTTTGTTTCCCTTTCTCTTTGTCTTTCTCATTTTCCTGCTTTAGGTGAGGTGGACCAAAACAGCTGGCAGCGCCTCAGACAAATTCCAGGAGACGTCGGTGTTCAATGAAACCCTTCGGATTGAGAAGATCCAGAGACTGCAGGGGGGTCGCTATTATTGTAAAGCGGAAAATGGGGTTGGGGTCCCTGCCATCAAGTCCATTCGAGTAGATGTGCAGTGTAAGTCATTTTGTGGCCATCCAAAGCTTCCCACAGTTCTACTGTGTGGCTGTTCCTGTTTGCTTGACATGTGTAATTCTGCATTGACCTAGAATCAACCTCATGCCTTGGAGGCAAAGGGACAGAATCCTGTAGTTCCAGAAGGAAAACCTGGTTAATTAGCAGCTAGACCTTTCATAACTGGCTGTGAATGAGTGTGCTGTGCGGAACGCTGAACCTGGATCAGCACTGGGTTCAGATCCATACTCATCCATGACACTCACTTGGGTTGCCTTGTGCAAGAGAGTGACCTGCTTCAGACATACCATGGTTTAGCCATACGGGAAGGAGCAGGAACAAGCCTCAAGCTTATGCTCCCTGCTCCTTCTGCTGCTTGGTTGCAAACTGAGAAGCATCCATTTCCTGATTTAAAGTAAACAAAATTTAGCATTATGTCCAAGATGGCTAGGGGGGATCTCTGCTTAATTGAAACTATTACGTGTTGAGCCAAGCCAGGATCAACCCATGGTTTCTTATCCTGGCTTGTCAACAATCTGTGGTTTAAACTAACTTGAGTTCCTTCAGTTTGAACACAATTCTAAATTTGTTTTAAAAGGAAGTCAGTGATTCAGGTCTCCACCTTGTGGCTGTCTCAGAGGAGAAAAGGTCAGCAGGAGCACACAAGCCTGATGCTTGCTTCTGTTTGCACATGTAGTGCTAAGCCATAGTTGAGTGTTTCATACAAGGGGGTCATAACCTCAAAGCCTAATCAAAGTCACTAGATGCAACATCAAAAATAACCATCTGCTGCATTTGTCTCCTCGCTGTAGCCTGACCTGCTTTGCAGTGTTGTTACAAAGGTAAAATGGAATAGCCGTATAGGTGTGCCTCTCGAACTCACGTAGTCACATAAATGTGACAAGGGATATAATAGCTAAAGATGGCACCACACTAAGAGGGTAACTATATAGCCATTCAATCCAGACTTTTAAAAAGGAAAGTGCTGTAGCTCTATTTTCATGGCCTCTTGTTTCATTGCTTGGGCCTCAAGCAACATTTCAGACTTGTTACTCATTCACTTTCCTCTCTTATTATGTCGCAAATTTTCAACAAGTCAACACTTTGCATAGATTTTGGATATAATTACCAGCTCATGCATCTGGTAATGAGTGATGTGATGGATCCTGCTGGCTTGCATACATGCAAGGCTTTTATTGGTCCTTTAAATAAATATATATTGCTGCCTTTCAGATGATTGGTGTAAATAATGGGAAGAGACTTTAAACAGAGATCTGAAAGTTATTTCTGCTTCCTCCCTTCATGCCAGCTGCAGAGTAGCAATTGAAAAGCAGTGCTGGAACTTAACAGATTTCCAAAGAATGGGCATTTCATTTCTTTGAAATCCTGTTTCACTTCAAAGTCCATTCTTCCACCCACAGAAAAGTTCACCTTAGTGCTGATAATTACTTGCTTTAAAATAGTCTGAACTCGTAAGGCTGTATGAGAAATACATTTCAGTTTGTTTTTTTATTAGAATTTACTAGCCTCACACCTTTTGCACTAAACACAAGCTGAGTCACAATATAAGGTTGAAGTCCATGCATTTCTGAGCTTACAAAAATCATAGAACGTAAGAAAAAAAGCCATGCTGGATCAGACCAAAGGTCTATCCAATCCAGCACTCCATACACATGAGGGTAAGCCAGCTGATCCCTCGAGCAGGATGGGTGCAAGACCTCCAGCTGCCCAAGCTCCTCAGCAACTGGCGTATGCATGCAGACCTGCCTGGTAAAGGAGGTAGCTCATATTCAGCAAGGCTAGTTAGCCATTGATAGTCTCCTTCTTCATGAATCTGTCCAATCCCCTTTTAAAGCCATCCAATCAGGCAGCCATCACCATTTCCCATGGCAATGAATTCCGTAGTTTAACTATACATTGTGTGAAGAAGTACTTTCTTTTACATGTCTTAAACCTAACATTCAGCTTCATGGTCCAACCCCGGGTTCTAGTATTATGGAAGAGGGAGAAAAAGATGCAAACTTTTGAAAAATGCACTTAAAATGCACACTTCTGAAAAGATGTGTATAAGTATGCTTTAATTAACAGAATGCATGCATTTCAAAATTGTGCATGATTGATGCATCTGTTTGGAGAAATACATGTAAAGTCCTAGTGCAGAGCTTTGTGGAAAACTTGGAGTTCTCTTGGAACTTGGAGAACTTCAGCAGGTTCACGCTTTGCTCATTCACACTCAACACGCAGCACTCAGTTCTAAGCACAAGCAGCCCCTTCTGCTTGCGGTGACACCATGAACAGGATGAATCCTCATGGGTACCAGTTGTCTTCATTTTAAGACAAGAGAGGTGTTTTAGCTTTATCTAGTTGGAAAAAAGTACAAAAGCTAGGAAACCTCCACACAGTTGGTGGTTAGGGAAAAGGGAGAGGATCCAGGAGAAGGAGGGTGGTCATTGGGAACCCTAGAAGGACTGATTGACACCTCGGGCAAGCCAGCTTATGTCCCCAGGCCTGATGTTCTATGCCCTTATCTAGAGCATCTGTGAGCTTCTCTTGGGATGTTTAGGATCTCCTCTCCCCTTCCCGTCTCATTGTTGAGTTCAATTATGCCAGACCTTGCTTCTTAGAGTTGATGGCTCATCATGGGTGAAGTTCAGTCTCCTGAGGTGCATTATTTCTTGTGAGTTTCCCTTTGCCTTTTGAATGTAGCTTGGATCTAAGCTGATGCAGAGTCCTGCAGTTCTTCAGGCATTTCTGACCTTTAGAGCTGTGGGGTAGGTTGGGTGGCCGAGGGCTTTCTAATACTAACATCTACTCTACAGATGGACTTGGTAATATGCCTCCTTCTTTCTGTTTCTTTGCATTTTTCTGCTCTGGAGAAGAGCCTGCATTTAATAAGTTCTTGTTAGATGCATGAATGAGAGGGCAGGAAAAGCCTTAACTGCACACTCCTGTGTTTGGCATGGTGTTGTCTCCTTTCCCTTTCCCTAACTTTTAACAAAAGGTAATATTTATATGTACTTACTTTGGATTATAGTTTAATGTTTGTGGCCAGACAAATGGCTCACATATAGTATCTTCTGGAACACAAGTGGGAATTTCACAAGCAAGTCCATTTTGATACAGTTGGATTGAAGGAGGATCCTTAAGGGGAACTTGGTGTAAGTGAATCCACTTCTTGCCATGTGTTGGACATCAATCCAGTTAGCACTTAATGGTGACAAAATGCAGGTTACTGAATTCCATAGTCCATTTTTAATATTCAGAGGTTGATCGGGGTTGCTACATGATGCTAGTAGTTAGGTTAATTCTGAGTTAGTTCATTTCAGAAGTATTCAGGAGTAATATTCAGTAATAGCCAAAAATTCTATGGAAAAAGCCTGGCACATGGCATGGCAAGTTATGTGTTGCTCAGCACATGATTTACTACCATTATATGTGCACAGTCCCAAAGTCTCTCAAGCCAGAACTGTGGCGATGTATGTGCTCGCGCGCGCTCTCTCTCTCTCTCTCTCTCTCTCTCTCTCTCTCTCTCTCAGAATAAGATCAAATCCTGCTGGTTGGAGGGAGCAACCATCAGTGAAACAGCAAACCATGGATTGTCTATGTGTCTCCACAGAAGTCACAGGAATGGCACAAACTGTGATGATTATATCTTACTTGTAACCAGCTTGGACCCAAAGGCAATACATATCCAAATGACAGAAGAGCTGGACTTGCTTGTAGACTATGTTCCTGAGTAGCTTCCCGCTTGCAAGAAAGCAGTTGGGTCACATGTTGCCATTTACCCAACTAGATCTGTTTTCAGATCTGTTTCCTGTGAATCCCTAAAGGAGAAAGCCAGACAGCCAGCCGCTGTGCTTCAGTCAATGCCAGCAAGGCAGGTGTGCCGGGGATCTAGGAAACTGCTGTCACTAGCACAAAGTCCGCAGACATTGGCATTAATCAGGGAAGCTGCTGCTTGGAGCCTTTCCATGTTGGGAGGAAGTGAAAGAGGAGCCAGATGGAAGGAAGGGACATTTAAAAGTTGTGTTGATATTGAAACAGCCCACATGGTTGTGCTGGTTGGCAAGTCACCAACTGTGGGCTGAATTAATATGTTAATGTAGTGCCGCTAACGTCTTTATCATTGTGGGCATGTACCTATTTAGCAAGGGCAGGTGTGAAGCTCTTTTAATGTTTGAAAGCACTATATTAATGTCAAGTAATAGTGTGTTAGTAGCAGCAGTAGAATTTGTTTGTTTATTTGTTATATTTCTATACCACCCATCAACCCAGAGGCTTCCTGGGCGGTTCATGCAATCAAAATATAGAATAATTTAAAACAGTCATGATAAAATCACAATAAAACAATTAATATAAATACAATAAACAGATGATCCACCCACCACAACCACAACCACAACTAAAGCAATCTAGAGGTGCAGTAATAAAATACAAGTAAAAGTAGAATTAAAATATTGGGAAAATTAAAAGATTTTCACCTGGCATGGAAAGGAGCACTGGCTGGGCACCAGGTGGACCTCTTTGGGGAGCTGATTCCACAGATGGGGTAGCCACCCTCCTTGCTTCCTTTGGAGAGGACTCTCTGAGAAGAGCCTCCACTGATGATCTCAGGGTTTGGGTCAGCACATGTTGAAGTTGTTCCTTCAGACAACCTGGCCCCAAACTGTTGAGGGCATTAAATGTAAATGTTAGCACTTGAACTGGGCCTTGTCTTCAATCAGTAACCAATGTAATTGATAGAGGACTGGTGTAATGTGTTCATGTCAGCCAGTCCCTGTTTGCAGCCTCGCTGCAATGAATTGAACTCTCTGGACCGCTTTCAAAGGCAACCCCATGTACAGCGTGTAGCAGTAGTCCAGACCAGAGGTTACGCGATCGTGGATCACTGTTGCTAGGCTCTGCCTGTCCAGACAGGGAAGTAGTTGGTAAATCAGCCTAAGCCAATAAAAGCTGCTCCTTGTCATGAGTCCACTTGTGACTCCAGAGACAATTCAGGGTTC